TCAACTGAATATCATAGTTTACAAACCTGAGCATGGCTGTGCTTCGTTTATTAGTACAAGAACCAGAACGACCACCGACGACGCCATTGACAAGAAACGAAGAATCATCGCACCAGAATTGGACCTTGCATGAGCAGCTCAACTTCTTCCTGCTTGGAGTGAAGAAAGCGAACATCGAGAGTCGGGCGGTCAAATTTGAGTTCTACGTAACGATTACTGACTGCATCTGCCACATCTCTTTCTGATTTCAATCAGAGTTCAGAAAACAAAACGAGAACGCCACTATGTCACTGCTATGTTCTCGGGCTATACGTGAATCAATTAGAAAGAATTGAAGCTAGAAATCCAGATAAGCACTGTAGTTCACAGTGTGCTCTTATTACAAAGTCTTCTAGCCTACCTGTTAAGTCTGTAATTTAGTGTCAACACAGAACATCAGCGCCTTGTACAGGTACTTCGAAGTAACTGGACTGAGTGAGGGAAGCTGGCGGCTGACGTATGACTGACACTTCCGGCATACCTCTAACCCTTCGTGGTGTTCATGACCTTGTAAACAATTTTTCGCCAAGTTGTATTACAGCAAAAAAATTACGTTCGCTTTCTTCATAAACTTCACTGTGAGAGTACATCAACGCATTGAAATAGAAAGTCCCCTCTAAATCACGAACACTGAACATTCATACGTGAATCGATAAGAAACAAGCCGGAAGTCCAGACAGGGCACTGTCCAAAGATAGATTTATTAAGGTCATTAAGTGTACAGATGAAAAGCTTCTCGGCGGCCTCGGGTGATAAACCTCTGTCTTGACACTGGAAGGGAGGCCAAAAGCTGATGGGGGTATCTTTTCGGTTTTCGAATGCCGGAAGTTGTTGGAGACGTATAGAACTAAAACTGGCTTCCGTTCCATTCTCTGGAGGACGGAACTTGTACTGGCGTTCTAGATAAAGCACCCCAAGCAGTAACCTCCCACGCAGACGTTCTTAGGCTTGTCACGTGTTCCTCCGAACGAACGTTCGTGGGGAGGAACGCGTGACAAGCCTAAGAACGTCTGCGCGAGAGGCTGTCCAAGCATACTACAGTCGACTCTTTCTTAACGGACATCTCTATAAGACGGACACCTAATGCTGGTCCCGGCCGTTTCTCAGTCATTTTACTAAACTCTCTATAAGACGGACACCTCCATAAGACGGACAACGGACTATTTGAAATCGTCAACGGACACTTGTGAAGTGCTGAATGTGACATCTTTTTAGACTTGGTGCCACGAAAGACAGTCCTGAGTCATAACATGATTATGTTACCGTTTGCAGAATGTACTGTTCACAGTTTGGATTCTAGTTAAACCTTTAACTATTGATTGTAATACGACAAGAGATTCAATTTTATAAATATGTTTTAGTTCCAGTTTGCAGGTTTCGTTCAAGTAAATAACTTAAAACAAACTTTAAACAGACGCGTATTCACTGTGCACAGGTTATCTTAAAATTCCTGGGATCATGTTAAGTCGACTCTCGACAAGTCGGACACCTCTCTGAGACGGATAGCTAAGGCCGGTTCCGATGGTGTCCGTCTTAGAGAGAGTTGACTGTATTGATATACAAATGGTTCGTGTTCGGACGCTATGAATAGATTGAGCGCGTACTGCGAGAGAGCCCAGCATCTAAGCCAGTTAGGCAAGCCGTTAGCCTGCATAGCAAGATGGAAATGGGCGACATCAGACAAAGCAAGGATCCAAAATCAACGGAAAAAAGTCGATTTGTTTGCATAACTAATATCCAAAGATTCAAAAGAAAATATTTGCCCAAATTTCAGTTCCTTCTTCATCACAACGTTTAGAAGAAAATTGTCTCCAAAAGATTACAATATTTAGCATGTATTTCCATGTTGGTGGGTGTGCGGCCCGCTTCCCAAAATTGACTGATGCCCTATTTATGACCAAAACGGCTAAAACACCATACCCTTTGGGGCCGCACATACCCCTTACGAGGGAGTACCCTCCGGGCATCAAACTACGCGTACAAAATTTTTGGGATCGCTTAATAAATAGGAGTAATTACAATAGAAAACCCGGAACGACCAAAAAATGGCCGAGCCCATAAAGGGGAGGTCGCCGGTTAATAGGGTTTCTATTTACAGTATTTTACTGACAACAATTTCGGGACTTTGAGGGGTGGTCAATTAATAGAGGCTCGACCGTAAATCTAACTGGTCTAAAAAGATAACAATACAATTGACCCGCACTGCAAAGTAATCCACGCCAAGTGTATCGTACAAAAATAACTGAACACCTGTTGACAAGAAAAAGACCAAGATAAAAAAAATAACAGAACAGAGTAGGACCGACCGACAAACCAACTTCTTTCAAGGCGAGTTATACAAGAAGTGTGAAAATCTCTCAAGAGAATTTAAATGTGATAATAGTAGTAAACTTTATTTGAGTGTCAATCGTTATCGTGTTTCTCACATTAATTGGTGGCACTAATTACTTTTACAACTATAAAATCTGAACTACAATTCTTGTTGATTTAAAAATGTTATGTATACAAATTACAAACTCAAAATTAGAGAAAAATTACACAGGGTTTCTAGTAGATAACAGCACGTCCTCAATACCTAAAACACACTCGATTTCCTGTTAGCTTGTGCACAAGTAACAATTCTTGCACCCAGCATCTTCAATCCACGTCATCAAGTCTCTTTGCCGAATGTTGACCTATTTATACCTTTCTGTTAAAATCTGGTATCTGGTCTACTGCACTATAAGGTTACACAAATACATTGAGAGAAATAAATATACACCTGAGAGAAAACGAGAAACAAAACCCAAGCCATATTAGAACAGACCAAACAACTTCTATAGGGCTAGTTATACAAGAAATGTGAAAAAAACTTTGAAGAAAATTTATGTCTTGACCTCTTTATACGCTTCTGTTATAGTCTGGCACCACAACGTACTCATTTTGCACTTCGTACTTCGCTCGGAGAGAGTCGATCTCAGGTCGGCGACTATTCGCAGTCAACAAAGACGCACGAGCCTTCTTGACCTGCCAGTAACAAACACCGGCTGCAATTAACGCCAGAACAATCACGCCAGCCAACATTCCGATCAAGATATCAGGGTGCTGGATTTTACTGGCCCTAGCTGACTTCTTCCCAGGCTTCTCTTCTTTCTGAGCATTGACGCTCGGCATAACTATTCAAAATAGTAAAATGTTCGGTTATCTTTGTTGTTTTCTGGACATTGATATCTTCGGAAAGTGGTCGGAAATCTTCGGAAAATCTTCGAAAACGGCGTTATTAGTATGTTTAATATATAGAATCAGCTTAGCCTAAACGCGGAGCTCCTGATTGCAATAATAACCATAAAGGAAAAAGAAGATTTGTTTTTCTTGGATCAGAAACTCAAAAATTATCAACTGAGAGCATGTAATTGTTCAGCGTGTGGTTTAGCTATTTTTTTCCAGTTAAAACTGCACAACCAGTACCCAATAAACGTAACTAAGATTGATATATTACGTACGCAATATATCAGAGACTTTCCAAGCGATGATTGTGCGAGAAACATGTGGGAAGAAAAGTAAACAACGTGCTAGGCGTTAATTTGCGCTGAAATTTTGCCTTTGCACGTACTCCCTCGTTCTCCCCCAGAGTAATAACATGACTAGAGCCTGCGATTCAATCGAAAACCAGTACTTAAAACACGCGACCTTCATGAGCTCTGAGCCTGAGCCCGCTATATGGTCACGTGATACTTGTCAGCGGATACCTTGTTTTGACAGCTGTCAGTTAACGATGGATGCCAAGTATCAAAGA